GCATTGTCCATTTCAGTCCTTTTTATCACACTGCAGTTCCTCGGTTATTACGAACATCACATATCTGTGCATGTAACACTCTATCTCTTGGACACCAACACGCCACAGGATGCATACATCCGCGAGTAGGCCTTCTACCATGCACAGACATGGTGTGTGCATGCATTAGAAAAACCAGGCCTCATCTTTAGCTGGCGGTGAGAGGTAGCCGAGCATAACCTCAGCTTCACATCTCTTTACGTTATGCAACAAGTTCCCTAGCAGACAACCGGTGTCTTGCAAATATTGCTTTGCAATAACCTGTGAAATTGCAGACTGAGAAACCTGCTGTTTTCTTAGTATTGCTGCTTTCTGACCGGATTTGCTGAGATTTCCGTGCCCTGCTATGATTTGCTGTGCTTGCTGAGAGTGTGTTGTGGATTTTCACCACCACAGCCCCTGTTCCACACAGATGAGTAGATCCAATATTGATGGACCTCTAGCTATATTGCAGACAATGAAGCATACATGACATGAGCCATTCCAACAATGCAACAGTTTTACCTCTATACCAAGCAACATGGAGCACAATAGATCCGTTATACCTCTTTCTTAGCTCCTTTCTTTTATTTGGCTTTCCTTCGGGTACCCCTTTGTTTTTTTTCCCCAAAGTAAACAGGGCCTTATGGCTCTGGCTCCATATCCATTCTGGGGAGTGTCAGTCCAGTTCCTATTCCACCGGCAAGTCAAAGTACAAGATACAATGCACTGAAAACGTTTCTCCCCTTTATGGTAGAGACACCCAAGTGGACAGCATTGATTAGTTCCAGGTTTGGAAGGATGTACCTCCCCTCACCCCTGCCTAAGTTAGCCCGTAACTAATGAATCCACCATCTCTGTTGTCTACCTCCTCTCTCTTCTAGCGCTTGCTTTCTTTCAGTAGCCCCTTCCCTTAAATTCCTTTTTCCCGTCTCCTTATCTGCTTACTAACCTTCTTCTGCTTAAACCCTAAACCCTGAGAGCCCTTTAGTACTGATGCCCTATGCTGAAGGGAGGACAATTAACCTAGCATTTGTATCACCACCCTGGTTTAGTCTTTGAGACTTGATCCTTTCGTTAGCCCCCCTTCCCTCTTAAACCCTGAGTCCTAAACTGTCTACTGCACCCCTTTACTACTTGTTGTCGTGTTCTTCTTCAATCCGCTCACACTTCCTCTATCTGCTGTTGCTGCTGGGTTACTGCTGGCACTCTCCAGTGGCATCTGAGGTTAGCACCTTCTATTATCGCTAGCTTGCCTTTACCCAAGGTCCTTTGCTCGAATCTGGTTCTTATTTCTTTTGCCCCAATTGGATTCTCTGCCATCTTCCTCCTTGCCCTTTTCCATTGTGCCTGGATGTGAGTTTCCAGTAAGTTGATCAGGATTTCATGCGCCTCGTGGATGTGCATTAGCCTCCTCTCTATCATTTGCTGACATCTCCTCTTCCATATTGTCCACAACCCGTACTGTCTCAGCAGATGATAAGTCCTCCTGTGCTTGGTGTCGCTATTCCCAACTATAAGGTCGCCGTATCCTCCGGGAAGGTGACATTTGTGGCTTTGGCCCAGGGGTCTTGCAATCTGCCATATTAGATGGGCATTGTGGCAATCCAGCAAAACAATGCTTTACTGACTCCCTATGTCCTCCTGGCAAGCTATACACATTCATTCTGGGGACTTCTGTTTTCTTGATTCCTCCTTTTGTTTAGCCACTCATTGACTGGTAATGCCAGATGGATAATTAGCCACTGCACTCCTCACTCGCCCCAGTCTGATGCTACTCAGACCTGACCGCGGGAGGGGTTTGAGTCTTGCTGGTGCTACCCCAACTCTGTCCCCCCAACGTTTTATTATTGGGTTCTCCAGCGGGTGGGCTCTCGCTCTAAGATTATACCCCAACTTTGTTGTGTAGTGGAGTATATTCGCTCTCAGTGCTACGTTCCGAATTCGGGTACCCCTTCTATTTGTTCTTGCAGCTCCCTTTGTACTGTGCCTCTCATGTACAAGGCTGGCCACATTGATTGTGGTTACGTGCCAGCTGTCCACATCCCTGTGCGCCTTACCGGCACACTTGCATATTGGATTCCATCTTCCTCCTTCCCGCCCGTAAAAATCTCCCCTGCCACAGAAACTTCTAATGGCAGAACATTTAACGGCATCATCAATGTCTGACTCGCTCTACTCTAGACCTGTCTGCCTGCCAGTGGAAGCACGAACAGAAGGAATATTGCAACAGCCCCCACGACCCTTGGCACCAAGTCTAGGGTCCAGGCATCTTTCATCCAAATCTAGCCTGTACTTAAGGAGTGAATCAACCAACGGTAACATGGCTGACAAGCACATGGAAAAGCACTTCGATAAAACAGATCAACAGGAGCTTCGCACCTCCAAGGCCAGTTCAGAGATAACACACAAGGATAATGAACTCAATCATGCCTTGACTCGCACAACATGAATTTCAATTGGTGTGCAGTAAGCTGAGTAAAGTGCTTTAAGATCAGGTTATTTATTTATTTATTTATTTATTTATTTATTATAAACTCACTTCGGCATAAGCTCGGTGCTTCATCCACATGAGCTTGACGATTACATTTCTCCAAAGTAGCACCATCCACCACCATTGCTGAGCCAGGATTCTCTCCTACCACTGGGCTGACAGGTGTAGAAGAAGTGACAATATTCCCTTCGTACCCCTCATGCCCACCCCCTGCTGCTTCTGCCCCTGCGGCTGAGAGGGCCGCTGCGGCTTTCTTTGCTGTCCATCCCTCTGGTGCTTGTTTGAGTGGTGCCTGTTCTACAGAATGCCCTTTCTTCACTCCTCTGATGCAATAGCCCGCGGGAATAGCATGCACTTTGCGCTCAACCCACACTGATGCACCATTTGCGCCCTTCGAGCTAGACACTACAGCCACTTCCCCGTCCCCTGTGCTTTCTCTGGCCGAAACCATCTTTGAGCATGACAAGCCCATTATGGTTGGTGCACAGAGGAGTAGCCACCCAGCTTCACTTCTGGCCTTTCCTTGCCCTCTTTCCAAAAACTCCCTTCTCCGAGCCAACCCTCTGCTACCTTACCCAGACTACCTTCCAAGAATGATCAGTCGTGTGGTACCAATCAATTGAAGAAGCCACCTAGTGATTCCACTGAATCACAACCAATCCTCCGCACAGCTCCTCCTCCTGCCGCAGATGACAAGAACTGCCCAGAAACTTTGAGGTGAGTGATGAATCATTTGTAATACCTCTCTCCTCTGCTCCGAACAAGAACAAGAGGGAGTTCCAACCCTCCTCCCTCCCTCTCCCGCCACCTCCTTACCCCTTCTCCTCCGCCTTTCCCTCCCCCGTTTTGTACACTCCCCTTCCGTGAGCCAACACCCCTTACCCAAACTTCCTTCCAAGAATGATCAGTTGCACCATATACAATCAGTTGAAGAACCCTCCTAGAGACTGCGCTGAGTCACATTCCATTCTCCGCACACCTCCTCCTCCTGCCACTCACAAAACATGCTGCACAGAGACATCTGTGATTGATTGCGTACTTACCCAATAATCACACTTTCCAATTCCTCTCTCCTCCACTCCAAACAAGAACTCCAGGGAGCTCCACCCCTTCGCCCTCCCTCCCTCCCTCCTCCCCCTTCTCACTCCCCCGCCCTGCCCTTACCCGCAGCCGCTCACTGCAGCCAGCCCCCTACAGCCCAAACGTATTCCTGGTTTTAGAATTCTTATTTCCTGGCTCACCGAGGCGACTAATGGAGAAGGGAATATGGAGATGCAGACAAGACTCCTGTGTGATCTCCTACCACTTCACTGTTCCAGCAAGAAGCCATCTCCAAAGAACAGAACTCCCCGTTTTCATGGAGTACTTTAACTCTGAAACACCCTGTTTTCGTTTCTGGCACAACCCCTGCATCAACAGGAAGGAACCGAGAGAACAACAACATTAAATGTTTGCCGCGGGACTAAAATCATGCTCATGCCAGAGCCAAACAGGATCCCAGACAAGATGAGGGCTGGCCGTAGGTTTGGAAGAGGTCAAGGAGTGATCTGATCCAAACCAACAGGTGTGAGGAGAGAGGAAGGGGAGGCAAAACTTTTTCTTTGTGAAAATTTACTCAGCCAAAGTTCTTTGCATAGTAAAGCACCAGTCCATCCGATGCTAAATTGACGAACCAAAAAATGCATTTTGCGAAGCCAAAAAGTGACCAGAATTGGCTTCTGGAAAAATGAAGGCCGTCCCCCGTATAGGCCTTTGTAGAAATGAAAAGTCTGGACCCTCGGCCACCAGGTGGAACGGAAAACAGGCCGTTTTTTTGTGTTCTCACTTTATCGCCATTTCCAGCCTCTACAGAAACACGGTTCCCTACCTCTACTACTACTACAGCAACTTCCACTACTACTACTACTGCTACCAGTACCACCTTCACCCAAATAGAACAAATGGTCATTATAGCTGCATCAGCACTGAAACCTGCCCCAGATACAGCTATAATAATCAGGCGTTCTTTTCGGACGAACACAGCACCTCTTTTTGTCCTTCTTTCCTGTACATGTGTCATAAGTTGTGAGTGTTGTGTGTTGTGTTCTCATGTTCGCCGTACACAACTCCATAACAAAAAGCATGACTGTGCCAGACTGTGTCGTTGGACTTTCATTGACTCATCAGGAGGTCGAATCCCAACAGCCTTCCCACGATGCATTTGACTGATGGATAAGGACACCATGTCGCCCATAATTAGTGATGCCCCTGAGAAACGTGGTCGGCTTTACTCACACCAACCCTGCAATCCTAGCAGACTGTCGTTCCAAACCCCGGACAAAATTGGCAGTAAGTCTGAGAAACTGGTCTGACACAGCCATAAAACCCGCTCCACTCACCTATAGATACCCCATGGCATGACCGCTACTACGGTGTCAACCCTGTATGTGTGTGTGAGAGGGAGAGCGAGAGAAAGGTGTCAACCCTGTATGTGTGTGAGAGGGAGAGCGAGAGAGAGGTATGGACCTGTATGTGTGTGTGAGAGGAAGAATGAGAGGGAGACAGAGGGGCGGGGGAATCGTGGGTGAGCGACACCAGTTTGTGCACCCAGAGTCTGTCTGTCCGTCCGTCCATCCGTCCGTTCCCCCGCCTGCCTGCCCATCCCACGAGTTTGTCTGTCTGTCTGTCTGTCTGCCTGTGTCTGTCTGTGTCTGTCTATCCATCTATCTATCTATCTGTCTGTCTGTCTGTCTGCTGCACCATCTCCACACTCGCAACCAGATTCAAGCATACAAAGATGATTGGATTGCATGCCTGAATCTCGTCGTGATTGTGGACATGGTGCAGAATCACAATATTCTGGACCTCTCCAGGAACCAAATCTAATCCTGGCACGCCAAAACTTCTCTCTCTCTCTCTCTCTCTCTCTCTCTCTCTCTCTCTCTCTCTCTCTCTCTCTCTCTCTCTCTCTCTCTCCCTCCCACCCCCCCCCCCCCCCCCCCCCCCGAAACGCGATGCACCCTCATTTTGGTTGTACCAGACCGGAAAGATAGATTGTATACATTCATTATCAGGGTGGCAAAAACAACGCACCCTGATACCGAATGACTACAAGCTATCTTTCCTGTCCAGTGCAGCCAAAATGAACGTGCATCGTGTTCAGGGAAGCACTCCCCCTATGGGCAACGTTCCCCAACCCGCATAGTCCAAAAAAAAAAAAAAAGGGAAAAAAAAGATTTTTTAGGGTCGGAAACTTGCGAAAATGGTGTTGTACGCGCATACAACAGCTGGTGCCCGTAGTACTCTATGTACGCTACCGTACTTCGCGTACACAACGCACATAGTGACACCTAGGTAGCAGATAAAATAGAGATTCAAATTGTTTTCAACAGGATACCACCCAGGAACAGTAAGTCCCTAGCAGTCAGACTCAGTAGGTACGCAGTCACGACGTGTCCGGTCCAGGTGAAGTCACGGCTCAGTCCCAGGAAAGGCCTATGTCGGTCACAGCAGGAGCTGGCAGAAGAGGCCATAGGCCACGTGAGGCAGCATCCAACACAAGCACATAAGGGAGGCCCATGCCAGAAACCTTCTCTTTCTTCGATGCTGGCTTATGCGCAAGCGTTGATGCTGTATTGGGCACCAAGATACTGCATGTCTGAACAGCGACTGGCAAGAAAGGAGAAAAAGGGCAGGGGGCCATAGCGGTAGGATAGAACAGTAGCTGAGAGGGAGAGCAGAGAGAATATTCAGAAAGAGTCCATGTGACCTGTGTGTGTGTTAGTGTGCGCACAATTAGTTCAGTGAGTGAGAGAGAGAGACCCGCTTGTGGTTGTTGGTGGCGTCCATAGCCGTAAACCTCGAGAGACCTGTGTATATCATTTCAAGTTACAATTGACTTGTGTGTGTACTCATATCATACGAGTCTTGCTGGTGCGACATTGCACACGTGGTCTATACGTGGTGTCATACGTGGTGTCATTTCCGTCAACATTTCCACCGAAACTGTCATACTGCCTTGATATTTTGCTTTTTTTTTGTTGTTGTTGTGTGTGATATGTATGTGCTTTAAGTTTAGGGTATAATCATGTATTCAGTTTGGACATATTTGGACCATTAACCAAAAAGTTGGCATCACCGAATTGGTTGAACGCTTATTTGAATTCGGAAAGCATTTTTGTGTTAGGGACGTTGCTTGTGGGGATGTGCTGAAAAACACCAAATTTTCGGCCTTCCATTAACCATCTCTTATCTTGAGTGGGATGCAGTTGCAAACCATAAAGTTTGAAGTAATAAATGCATTTTTTCCCAGTAAAGATGGAATCTTTTAATTCGTAATATGTTCTGCTCTAGCATAAATAAACTCAGACGACCTAATCCAAGCTCTAGTCACTCGCCCGGCACATGGACACCCCGTCTGTGCTGATTTTATGAGTCTATCATCCACCACTGTGCTTTCTGTAGCTGTTCAACAGTCTGTTATTTTATCATCTTTTTGAATTCCAGGGTATACAATTCCAGGAGATAACTGGGGTTTGGGGTCCGGAAACTGGGGTTAACCGTATTCGCCCAGTCAACCATATTCTCCAGGGTATATAATTCCAGGAGATAACTGGGGTTTGGCTTCTATGCCGAATACGGTTGACTGGGTGATCGCCCAGTGGCTAAGTGGACTGCGCTGTCATACTCATACAGCCCAGTTGATTGGGGTCTGCCAATTTTACAATTGTTTTTGGTAATCCAAAGTCTTTGATCCAGTGGCCAGCGAATACAGTAATTACTCCATCTTACCAGTAGCGGGTACAAGTATGAACCTTGTCAATTTTTTTATTATTATTATTTATTTTTATTTTTTTACCCACATTCACATTATATTCCGGAAAAAACTTGTCAAATTTAGAAAATCTGTCTATAATGACCAGAGAGTTTACTTGTTCGGAAGTTATTCCCATTTGTGTCGGTTACCAGAATGTCCACGAAGTCAACGGTCAAAGATTGACCTGCTCCCTCACATATGGGAAGCGGCTCAATTAAGCCTAGAGGGGCCCGTGTCCAAGGTTCCTTCCTCTGCCAAAACTCGTAATTTTCTACCAATCCAGAAGTTCAGTGGTAAGGAGGTGAAGAGCTGCCGATCCCACCGCATTTGTTTTCTTTTCCTGTTGGTGAGGGAGGGGGAGGTAAAGGGAATGGAGATGCGTAGATACACCTCGGCTTAGGCTGGCAAGAGGCAGATGTGGCCTGGTTACTATGTACCAGACCCTCTGTGTTGTGCAGGTGTATGATGTGCACCCCAGGCCTCTGTAGCGCCGATAAGGTAAATGTATCTTGCCCTGACAGGTGGCAAGATACGTCACACAGATATGGGTAGTACACAAAGTGCTAAGGGAATTTCATAGCTGATAGATTATGCAGCAGCGCGTAATCCATATGTCATGCTCACTTTGACAGACGGCGGAAAGAGGCCCTTAACATGGAGCAAGGGGTAAGAAGACACAGCTGCATCAGTGACGGCTGTCAGCTCACAACGTTGAAGTTAAGAGTTTGTGCAAGTGATATACATTTCCCTTCTCAGATCAGAGCAGCACGGACACAGGAGGTTCACTCAACAATACAACCAATGAGTGTAATGCAATCAGCAGAGACAATCCGACTTCATGTCTGCAGCATCGGGATGGTGAAGACAGTTCCTGTCGCAATGGATGCCACAACGCAGCTGCTGACTCTAGCGTAAGCTTCCACTCAGCTTGCAGAGATGGAATGCCATGTCTGAGTTAGGGGTAGACCCGTTCAGTCATGAGCGCCACGTTTTTGTCATGCAATCAGCAGCAATCATCCTACCTCATGCCTGCAGCACCGGGAGCAATCATCCAACCTCATGCCTGCAGTGTCAGATGGTGAAGTTGGTTGCTGCTGCATTTGAATGCCACAATACAGCACCTGATTCTCATACTCTTATGCACTGAGCTTGCGGAGACAACATGCCACGGCCAAGTTAGGGACAGTCCCATTCGATAACTAAGATGCTAGATGGCCTTATAGATTGACACTCCTCAACAAGACCAAAGATGGACTCTTAAAAATTGTTCGAGGGAATGCTGTTGCTCGACCGTGGGCAGACCGCCCGCAGGTTAGTATCAGGGATCGAAGAGAGGAGAGTGTCAAGGTAACAAGGGAGAAAGCAAAGAGATAATGGGAAAATGGCACATGAAACCCCCACGCTAAATTCCAGCCAACGGAATCAAACCCGTGCGTGACCTTCTCAATGCAAGTGCGAACTTAACAACCAGTAGGCTAGCAACCAGAACCATTGGACAGCAAATGAGTATCAGAGCTCGGAGAGACAAGGCGGCCAGGATAACAACGACATGACCAAGGCAGAGAAATGGTAGCAATTTCCCCTCGTCTACGATTGCCCATACCGTTCCTTCCACTTCACCTTCCCTCCTCTGCGCACCCTTTCTCCCCCGCACTCCCCATCCTTCGCACCCCTTAGCAAAATACATTCTGTACCAAGGTTGCATCCAACACCATTCCCCTCAACGTCTGCCGGACACACGGGACGGACTATTGAAGCCCGACTTGGGCACGTTTTGAAAGGAGAAGAAGATGAGGAGGAAATGGTGGTGCTCAACCAAGACGACCGAGGGCACCGATCGAGGCCACACTCACACTGGTACCTTAATTTCTCTTTCCAACCGTGACAATCTGCAGATTCAGACGAGAAGGTCCAAGTGTGGGTACGTCACAACTTAAACCAAAGAGCGAATCTACATGCCAAAGGCAAGACGACAAGAGAAAACATAATGAATTACAGCAACGGCAAATTCGCATGCTGGGCAAGGGGAAAGAAAGCACCAATGAACCCTTTCGGACGTCATGGGATTGCTGCAGCTCCACGATAACGATGATGATAACATGTGTAAATGACGTGGAATAGGATGAGAACACGTAATTTCAGGTCAGTCCCTGGTGCCTGTGGTTGGACGGCTCTGCCAAGCGTTCGGACTATGCCGAATCTTAGCAGACCACTCTATTTCAGTATATCCGTTTCCTAAACGCCAGTTGTGTTGTTGATATACAGAAAGGCATTCCAGATGAGAAAACAAGCACACACACACACACACACACACACACACACACACACACACACACACACACACACACATGCACCAAAAAAAATCAAAAAGCACATGAGAACACAGACAGGGGAAGAGAGAGAGAGAGAGAGAGAGAGAGAGAGAGAGAGAGAGAGAGAGAGAGAGAGAGAGAGAGAGAGAGAGAGGTGTTTAGGCAGTTGTGTTGTTGATTTACAGAAAGGCATTCCAGATGAGAAAACAAGCACATACACACACACACACACACACAAACACACACACACACACACACACAAATGCACCAAAAAAAAAAACAAAAAGCACATGCACAGAACACAGACAGGGGAAGAGAGAGAGAGAGAGAGAGGCCGACAGACAAACAGACGGAGTAGAACGAGACAATCTGTGACAGTCATGCTTTTTTTTTCTGAGGAGCTGTGTTTATCGAGCATAGCAACATACAACAAGACAACTCGATGACCTGCTGCACACCTTCGCTTGCAAGAAAACAGGAGGGAATACCAACCAACTCTTTTTTTTTTCTCATTCATGTTGAGCGTTTTCTTTCGGAAGCCTTTCCCTTCTCAGCATCGTTTTTTTGTTTTTTGTTATCTACTGTGCAATATGACCCGCAAAATTGCAATCTGAGGACTCCGAATCTTTGCAAAAAAGCGTTTAACTACTAAATGACATGTTGCAACTTCGGCAAAGTTGCAATCTGTGGACTCCCAACTCTCCGGAGAAAATGATGTCCGGTTGATCTGTCTGCTAAGAACTTAAGAAGTTTGATTCTGAGTCTGTTCGCTGTGTTTTCTGAATATGTTCGTGATCAACCTATCTTGTGTGTATGCATGCTCCGTGCTTTTTTTTTGATGAGTTTCGAGTGTGTCGGTGTGTGCATGCCTGTGTGTCTCAGTTCATCGGACCAAGATGGTGCGATTGACAGTCGGCAGGGGGTCAGAAGTCTCCTTCAATTATAAGGAGTCGTTGCTGTTAAGCAGGTTGGGTGAATGAAGGAATCTGGTTCCAATTTGCTTGCCAGTTGCTGTTGGCTACGGAACATTCGAGCGCGCATCCGAGGCAGTTATGTGAGCCGTAATGCTGAGCGTGCACCTTGGAGCATTTCCTGGAAGGCAAAAGCCAAAGAAGAAACGAAGCAGCACGTGTCAGAATCACTTCGTGGACAGTGCGACTCTCTCTCTCTCTCTCTCTCTCTCTCTCTCTCTCTCTCTCTCT